TACTTTAAAGTTGTTTAAGTTAAAATAAGTTGATTGGTATAGTTTTTTAATGTTAATGTTTATAAAAAATGCTGAGAGGCCCAAATTGCCCAAACTAGTTTGGGCTTTGATAAAATGATTTGGACTGGAAACCTTAGTATTAATGTGCAAATATTAAAATTTTCTATAAAATCCTAAATGATCTAATTATTTGCAGAATGATACATCTAACTGCTCATCCTGTTTTGTTTGTGGTGCTTATAATATCATTGAATAATAAAAGTATATACTCCATTTCACATTAGAAAATATATATCAGATATAACAATATAATAAATTTCAGCATTAAAATAAATTGCTAATTTATACCTTTAAATTTAGCCACCCAAATTTTGGCTTATAAAAAAAAAAAATATATATATATATGAAGTATCAACTTCAGCCCATATTAATATTTGTATTGTAAATAATAAAAAACCTTATTCAGATACTTTTTGGAAGCCAGTGTATATTCATGAGGCAATTAAAATTTATGTATGATATTGATTTTTTTATTACTGTTACATCCAGAAAATATAAAAAAAATTTGCATGTGTCAATTGTAAGTTTAACAATAAAAAAGTGTAAAACTTATGTTGGTGCCATAAGATTTACATGATATTAACATCAGCATCATAAGATTTATGCAAGTTTATGCTAAATTAATTTCCTGTGCAAGGTTTTTTATAGGGCAAGTATTTTGTATTACCATTAAAGAATACTTTGACTGTTTAAGAGATAATAAAACTTATTGGATTACATACCCCCATTCTGCATTGTATTAATTATCTTTGTAATCATCTTTCTTCTTTTCTTTGTTAACCCACTGTTGAATTACTTCTATCATTTTGCTTCTAGTATTTGCTTTTTGTTTTTTTATTGTGGAAGCAGCAGCACCTTTTCCTCTACAAGTAATCCATGAATTTCCATTGCCATTTCACCAAATGAAAAATCAGGATTCAACCCAGTCTTTTTATCAAATAATTGTTTGAAATCCTTCCATAAATTTTCAATTTCTATTGAATATTTTTATCACCAATAAGTTTGTTTATTTTTAAATTGGTTTTTTCTTGGTTCTATTCTATTAGTTATTTGATCAATTTTTTGATTTATAATATAGAATTGATTTTGTAAGTTTGATAGTGAAGTAAGAAACCAAGCAAGAGTCCAATTAACAATTCACAAAAAAGTTCATAGTTGAAAGTAAGCATTTTTAAAAATGTTATTATGGATAAAAATATTGTAAATATTCATTTATTTTTGTTTTTTAAACCAAAATAAAATTATGTTTAATAATGATTATTAGAAGGATTTGTTATTTGAATTTTTTTAACTGAAAACTAAGTGAATTGGTGATGTTTTTATAATGTTTCAACATAAGGCAGGGTATTTATCTTGTTTCAATGTCAATGAGAGAAAAACAAAGATTTATAAAACATCTTGAGTGTAATATTGATTCAAACAGCAATGTTTTTAATGCAATATGATGATCATTAACTACATTTGGATCAAAGTGATTTTTATGGGTCGTACAGTGCCGGTCACAAGTACACATCCAATTGTTTCAATTTTAAAATTTTGATGATCTTTCCAAAATAAGCAATAAACAAAATTTATTTTTTTTATATTAATATATACATCAGGAAAAAATTTTAACTCTCAAATTGTCTATCCACATCTCTATATACTGTCTCTAGAACAGAACGATGTGACTTGTATTGTTTCATTGCAAATTCTGCTTGGATTCCATCTAAACCTCTTCTATAGCATTCCATAAATCTTTTTGTTCTTCGTGCATATCTTCTCATTTCAACTAAACTAACAGAATCTAAAGCAATAGGAACATTCCTTTGTAAGCTACTCCAGGTATACTCACAATTATTTCGGGCATATCTCTTTGCTGATCCCCAGCACATCTCAATAAAATTTAGCTCAGGATGAAATTTGGGATAAAAAATGGCTTTATGACCTAAATTTTCAATTACTTCCTGCAAATAAGGTTTTTTTGGTTGGCAAAAATCTTCTTGAGCACCAAGAATATGTCTTGCACAACAGGAAGGGTTTTCATCTATATTTCCTTTTTTACCACAGGAAAGCCGCAGATGTGGTTGCCACAAACCACGTTCCATTAAAATAGTTCTAATTCCCTTTGCATGGCCATTTGAATCCACTAAATTTTGAACTTGTCCATTAAATAAAGTGCTTCTTTTAAGTGGTTGCTTACCTCCATCACTTAAATTCATATTATTTACATCAAGAGCATCTTTTGCAGGTGAAGCATGGGCAGATGAATTGTCAAAGGCAAATACTGCAATGGCTCCAGGATGGGTTTTCTCAAAGATTGGTATTGCATGTTCCACAATCTATAATATAAAATTTTTTAATCATTATGTATATACTAAATTAGACACTTAAAAAAATTTACCTGTTTTATAAGTTGATCCAAATTCCACCATCCATCATTATTTTTTCCTGGACTAATTATGATACGAGCTTCATGTGGCATGTTATCACTTACCTCTAGTTTTTGTTCTTCTGAGAGTCTTAACCATCCAACAGTCTCAGTCACAAAATCACTCACATGTAATGATCGACCACGACTCTTCTTCATTAGAGGTTGTTCATTGACAGGGTGCCAACCTTCTTTTTTTCCATCATTTGATTCAAAAACAGTTTCATCATGAGCAACCCAAATGTGAAGAGAATCACCTTCTGAAAGATCAGGATCAATCCTTGTGTCCATTTCATCACCTGTGAATGCTGGCATGAAATTTTCCAAACTATAAAAATATTTCAGTAAGTTTTTTTAAATATTAATTTTACATAAAAACAATATCACCTTAACCATTATATCTATTTATTTTTAGCAATTAATGAACCAGTTTCCACAATCAATTTGAATTTCTGCATCAAATTTTTGATTTGAGGCTTTAATAGAAATTTCAAAGCATTTAATTAAAATAATTAAATTAATCAAATTACCTTTTCATCTCTTCTAAAAATACTTTTCTATACTCAACCACATCTGGTCTTTCATGGCCATCGATGTATAAACCTTTTTTATATTTTGAATAAACAAGACCTAATCTCTTAAGCAACCTTCTAACTGTTTTTTCACTATAAATAAATCAATTAAATGAATTTATTTAAAAATAATCTAAAATTAAAATCAAAGATATCATAATCATTACCCAATTTTTGCTCTTCTATCAATGCCAAGAGATGGAATTATTTCATCTTCAATATA